AGTATAGGAATAAGCTCTTCTTTGAAGGTTTGATAGAATACTGTTGTGCAGCTGGCATCCAGACCAGGGCATTTTTTTGTTGGGAGATTTTTTATTGTTTCTTTGATCTCAGTGCTTGAAATTGGTCTGTTTAGGAGATCTATTTCATCTGGGCTAAGTCTAGGGAGAGGGTGTGATTCCAAATATTGATCTATTTCCTTCACGTTGTCAAATTTCTAGGAATAAAACTTCTAGTACTATTCAGAGATAATCTCTTATATCTCTGTGGCATCAGTTGTTATTTCCCCTTAATCATTTCTAATTGAGGTTACTAGAGACCTTTTTATTTCTAGTTAGTCTGGCCAAAGGTTTATCTATTTTATTTATTTTTTCAAAAAACCAACTCCTTGTTTCATTAATTTTCTGAATAATTCTTTTGTTTTCAATTTCATTAATCTCTGATTTAATTTTGGATATTTCTTTTTTTCTGCTGGGTTTGAGATTAGATTGTTCTCCTTTTTCCAATTCTGTAAGATGACTTATGAGTTTGTTGATGCGCTTTCTTTCTGTTTTTTGAAGGTAGGCTTCTAAGGTGATAAATTTTCATCTCAGGACTGCTTTTGCTGTATTCCACAGGTTTTGGTAGCTTGTGTCTTCATTGTTGATATACTCAAGGAAGTTAATGGTTTCCTTTTTTATTTCTTCCTGCACCCAACTATCATTCAACATAAGGTTGTTTAACTTCCATCCTTTTGTGTGAGGTCAAATTTTTTTTTTGGAGTTGAGTTCCACTTTTAGTGCCTTGTGGTCTGAGAAGATGAACGGTAAAAATTCAATTCTTTTGATTCTGTTGAAGTTTGTTTTGTGTCCTAGGCCATGATCAATTTTGGAGAATGTTCCATGAGACTATGAGAAGAATGTATATTCTTTATCTTTGGGATGGAGTGTTCTATATACATCTATCAAGCACAGTTGTACAAGGGCCTTGTTTAAATCTCTAATATCTTTGTTTAATTTCTGTTTAGAGGACCTGTCCAGTTCTGAGAGATGGGTGTTAAAGTCCCCTGTTATCATGGTGTTATAGGATATCTTACTGCTCATACTAAGCAAGGTCTGTTTCAAGAATCTGGGGGCATTTAAATTGGGTGCATAAATGTTTAGAATTGAAATGTCTTCTTGTATTTTTCCCTTGACCAATATGAAGTGACCATTGTCTTTTTTGACTTTAGTTGCTTTAAATCTACATGGATCTGAAAATAAGATTGCAACCCCTCTTTTCTTCTGAATTCCATTTGCCTGAAAAATTGGCTTCCAACCCTTAACTCTGAGTTTTAATTTGTCTTTTGTTGTGAGGTGTGTTTCCTGCAAACAGCAAATAGATGGCTTGTGTTTTTTAATCAAATCAGCCAATCTATGCCTCTTCAGTGGGGAATTCAAGCCATTGACATTTATTGAGATAATTGATAAGTGTGGTAGTGTACTATTCATTTTGTTTTGTGAAAGTCCATTGCTTAGTTTTGTCTTTTGCATCATTGTGGAAACTAGGTTCTGTCCTTTAATTTCTGAGTGTTTACTTTGCTGAAGGTCCATTGTGATTTCGGTGTGTAGAACAGGTTGAAGTATTTCCTGTAGAGCTGGTCTTGTTGTGACAAATTTCCTCAATGTTTGCATATCAATAAAAGATTTGATTTTAAATTAATGTCCACAAGTCAGTTGCTTTTGTATATGCCAACAACAGCCAAGCTGAGAGGTTAATTAAAGACACAACTCCCTTCACCATAGCCCCAAAGAAAATGAAATACTGGCTCGGCACCTATGGCTCAAGTGGCTAAGGCGCCAGCCATGTACGCCCAAGGTGGCGGGTTTGAATCTAGCCCAGGCCCACCAAACAACAGTGATGGCTGCAACCAAAAAATAGCTGGGCATTGTGGTGGGCGCCTGTGGTCCCCGCTACTTGGGAGGCTGAGGCAGGAGACTCGCTTGAGCCCAGGAGTTGGAGGTTGCTGTGAGCTGTGATGCCATGGAACTCTACCCAGGGGGACACCTGGAGGCTCCTGTCTCAAAAAAAAAAAAGAAAGAAAGAAAAGAAAATGAAATACTTAGGAATATACCTAACAAAAGAGATGAAGGACCTCTATCAAGAAAATTATGAAATCCTAAGAAAGGAAATAGCAGAGGACTTTAACAAAAGGAAGAACATACCATGCTCATGTCTGGGAAGAATCAACATTGTTAAAATGTCTATACTTCCCAGAGCAACCTATTGATTCAATGCCATCCCTATTAAAATACCAACATCCTATTTTCAAGACTTGGAAAAAATGATTCTGCGTTGTGTATGGAACCAGAAAAAACCCCGTATAGCTAAGATAGTTCTTAGTAATAAAAACAAAATAAGGGGTATCACCATACCAGATTTTAGGCTGTACCACAAGGCCATAGTGGTCAAGATAGCATGGTATTGGCACAAAAATAGAGACATAGACATTTGGAATTGAATAGAAAACCAGGAATTGAAACCAACAACTTACAACCACCTAATCTTTGATAAACCAAACAAGAACATCCACTGAGGGAAAGACTCCCTATTCAATAAATGGTGCTGGGAGAATTGGACATCCACATGTAAAAGATGGAAACTGGACCCGCACCTTTCTCCACTCATGAAAATTGATTCAAAATGGATAAAGGACTTAAATTTAAGGCATGAAACAATAAAAATCCTCAAAGAAAGAATAGGAAAAACAGTGGAAGATATCAGTCTGGGGAAAGACTATGTGAAGAAGACTGCCACAGCAATAGGAACAACAGCAATAAACAAATGGGATTTAATTAAACTGAAAAGCTTCTGTACATCCAAGAGAACAACCAAAGCAAATAGACAACCTACCCAATGGGAAAGGATATTTGCATATTTTGAATCAGACAAAAGCTTAATAAGTAGGAGCTATACGGAACTTAAATTAATCCACAAGATAAAAACCAACAATCCCATACATTAATGTGGAAGAGTAATGAACAGAACCTTCTCTAAAGAAGACAGACGGATGGCTAGCAAACACATGAAAAGATGTTCATCATCCCTAATTATTAGAGAAATGAAAACTGAAACCACCCTGAGAGATCATCTAACCTCAGCGAGAATGGCCTATATCACAAAACCTCAAAACTGCAGATGCTGGAGCGGATGTGGAGAGAAAGGAACACTTTTACACAGCTGGTGAGACTGCAAACTAATACAACCTTTTTGGAATGAAGTATGGAGAAACCTCAAAGAACTCAACCTAGACCTCCCATTTGATCCTGCAATCCCATTACTGGGCATCTATCCAGAAGGAAAAAAATAATTTTTATTATAAAGACACTTGACTGTTTATTGCAGTTTAATTTACAATTGCTAAAACGTGAAAACAGCCTAAATGCCCTTCAACCCAGGAATGGATTGGCAAGTTGTGTTATATGTATACCATGGAATACTATTCAGCCATTAAAAAAGTGGAGATTTTGCAGCATTTGTATTAACCTGGATGGAGGTAGAATACATTATCCTTAGTGAAGTATCACAGGGATGGAGAAGTATGAATCCTATGTATTCAACTTTGATATGAGGGCAATTAATGTCAGGGTGGGTCATTGGGGAAGTGGAAAGCAGACAGAGAAGGAGGGAGGGGGTGTGGGAAAGGAAAAGAAAAAAGAAAAGAAAAGAAAATAGTGACTAATTCTTACATAAATTATATTTAACTTTGATGAAAGTACATTACTTAAACTTTTTTTTTTTTTTTGCAGTTTTTGGCCAGCGTTGGGTTTGAACCCACCACCTCCAGCATATGGAGCCGGAACCCCACTCCTTTGAGCCAAGGGAGCCACCCCCTTAAACATTAATTTTTAATTCAATTTTTTAGTATGTTCTTTAGGATATTGCATCCTCATTTATAAGTGAAATATGTTTGTAATTTCCCCTTTATAATAATATATTTTTTCCAATTTTAATATTGGGTGTAGCCAGATGAAGTAGAATGATTTTGAAGTATTTCTTCTTTTCCTATTGTGTATAAGATTTGGTATGTTCTGTTTTTTTAAATTATCTTTTATTTTTATTTATAAATCTTATTTGTCTATTTTTTTTTTGAGACTTTGGAAAAAAATAAGAACTGATGACTCCATACTGAACCTCAGAGTCAAAGCATTCTATAATAGACATACTCTTATTTGACAATATGAATGTTACTTTTTTTGCATTATTATTATTGCTCAATAAAAAAACCCAAAAATTGATACACGAAAATTGGATCGGGGTGGTGAAAAAGATGACGTGTAGGTACAGAACCACTGGAAACACATTTTAAGAATGCAATTATCGTAGTAGGGAGGGGGAATGGGGCGTGTCACAAATGTCTTTGCGGTGATGAACTTTCAACCCGGGGCCAGGACCTGAGGGTTAAGACATCACACTAACAGGACTATTATCATCTTTAAGTCATTTACTAGTTTTTAACTTCTGCCTGTAAGCGACAGTCTGCGACGGGAAGCAGCTGCAGTCCTCTTAAACCGCAGCCGCTGACCTTAGCGACAAGAGACCCGACCTGCCCTCCAGGCGCCGGCGCTGGGCCACTAGAGGCGCCGCGCAACTCCCTCTGCGGCAGCCCGGTCTGGCCGGCGCGCGCCCGCCACGCGCGTCCCCAGCGCTTGGGCGCGCGGCCCCAGCTCTCAGGCGCCGCCAGAGAGGACCTCATTCTCCCAGCCCGCAGCGCGTCTACCGGCTCTTAAACCCATTCCTCATTCGGGGCCTCCTGGGAAACTGCCTGTCTGGTCTCGAAGGGTCCTAGAGTCAACGCCAAACATTACCCATCAGAAATATTTACGGAAGCGTAATAAACGATGTTTTACTATGAAGCGGAATAGTTATCTTCCGGCCAGGTTAGGACGGACACGTAGGTAGGTGGATCAAATCAGGCACTGCTAAGGACAGCCGCATCCGGGTCCTCCTGCCGCAGGCTCCCATTTCAGCCAGGGGTCCTTCAGGTAGGAGGTACTAGGTGACTTTGGGCGTCCGCATAGTCTTGGTGCACCCTTAGTCCAGGTCTTGTCCCGCAGGTTTATTTTTCTTTCCCTGTAGACTAAAGGCCGCTGCCGCAAACATGCTTCGCCAGATCCTCAGTCAGGCCAAGAAGCATCCGAGCGTAAGTTTGTGACCTCTCTGCCAGTGTCTTCCCTTGTTCGTCTTATGTCAGGGTGCGGCTGCGTCAGTCCCCCGGGAGCGTCCTTTCATAGCCACTTACCGTATCTCGGGCTAGATCCTGCCTTTCCTAGTGCTGCAGTCTCATTGCCCCCGGCTCTTGAGTTGTGACCTTTACACCGTACATTGTGGGGTTTTGGCTGGGAGGCGGAAGGTGAGGGACCCATGCGAGGAAAACAAACTAGCGAACGTTTAAACAATCTGGTGGCTGCGCTCTCTTGGAGGTTGGCTGGTCGGGGGAAGGGGTGAGGGGAGCGGTAGGTGAGTGCTGTGTGAGTTAGAGACTAGCATAGTCCTATTTCCAATTTGTATGCCATCTCTTGGAACCTTTTTTACTCACTGCATTGCACCACCAGGCCTTGTGGCAAATGTGAGGGGTCCATTATCTTGTAATCATCATTTTGCCTGGATGGCTTTGTATTCGGGGGAGGGGTCTGGTAATGTAGAATTTAATTGCAGTTAAATTATTTTATATCTTATTACTGTGCTGTGGACCCAAAACTATATATGGCCTTTAATCTATTTTAAATCTAGTTTTCTTAATAGGCAGAAAGCATTGGTAGGAAAACGTTTCCGGAGGTTTCAGCTAACGCCAGTATTTGTAAAAGACAGCTTTACTTGTTTTCTTCAGACTTCTTATTTCATAGAGATTTTAGTTTTCAAATTATCTGTATTTAGTAGCCTTTGAAAATTCCAAACTTTTTAGAACACAGGTTTAAGAAGTACTACCTCAGTGTAAGATGTACTTTTATTCAAATTTTAAGATAATATAGTGGTTTGAAACTTGGAAATCAATGTGTGGAAACCATTGTAGAGCTTCTTTTTGGTCAGTGTCTTCTAGATATTTGAAGTATGGCTATTCATTTTTTCTATTTTGTGTTTGGTTATAGTTGATTCCGCTCTTCATATTTATTGGAGCTGGAGGTACTGGAGCAACATTGTATGTCTTACGTCTGGCATTGTTCAATCCAGATGTTAGGTAAGTACTTAAACAGGTTTAGAACTTTGATAGCTTATCAGGCTGCTTTAAGAGCCACAGTCTAGATTTCTAGGGAGCTAACAGCAAATGGAAGAATGAATTTGACTTTTAGAGTCATATGATAAGTTCAGATTTCCAATGTGCTGTTGTCATTTACTTTTTCTAGTTCATGAAGTTATCTAATTTCTCTGAGTCTCATTTTTCTCATTGATAAAGTCAACTGCTTGCAATGTTTTGAGGATTGACATATAGTAAATTTGTTTTTTAAATATTGTGGTTCTTGTTACAATATTTTCACATGGATTGCTTATTATATATCTTACCTGTGTTTCAGCTGTATAATGAAAATAACACTGATTGAAAGTGAGATTGATCTATTCAAGATTCTAGCTCCTTAAGAAGCACAAAACATTACCTTAAATAGTGCTTTATAACAATCATAATTTTTTATTTCTTTTAGTTGGGACAGAAAGAATAACCCAGAACCATGGAACAAACTGGGTCCCACTGATCAATACAAGGTAAACTACAAATTTGTTTCAAAATTGCTGGAAAGTATCTTATAAAGATGTTATGCAGTAGGTATTTTTGATACTGAATATACAAGTAAAAATCCATCGTAACGAACTTTGAAGGACTGCTAGATCTGTGATTTGCAGCAGTATTCCATAACATAGCATATTCTAATATTTTTTCTAGGGTTTTAGTGTTTTTATATTGTTAGTCTTTTGACTCTGCATGTGAAATTAAGGTAATGTCTTAATTATAGTGATTTCACTTAAGAGATTAAAAAAAGGTGGTATAGTTACCATTTTCTTATGTTTTGTTAGTCTGATAGTTGGTTCCCAAACTTAATTGTACACAGAGCTTGTACAATTAGAATCAAGAACCTCTTGATTCTTCACTTTTACTCCCAGAGATTCTGATTTGATTGTCTTTTATGGAAACTGAGAATTTGCATTTCTAACAAGGTTTCAGATGATACTGATGCTTCTGGTCCATGGATCACACTTTGAGTAGCACTAACCTATTGTTTGGTTTGGTTAATTGTTCTTATTGGTGTAGTCAAAATATTTTAGGTGAAGCATAATAAGAAATGAAAGTCAGTTGAAGCTTAAATTTTACCATGAACACCCTAAATAAACCTAACATTGTCTGTGGAACTATTCTAGAGAATGATTTCATGTACTGAAATCATTTATTCCCCAAACAAACATAGCCTTCTTTGTGTGTAATATTTTTGCATATAAAAACAGACCCTCAAACACATCAAAAACTTACCTTTGTTAAGGTATAATTCACGTGCCATATAATTTACCTATTGAAGTGTTTAACTCATGCACTTTCCACTATGCCAAGCTGCTTTGTGAAAAGAGAGTAACTGGCAATTTACTTTAGTACTCTCAAGAAGAGGGGCTATGACCAGTGTGTGTCTAGAATCCTTTAGCTGACATATATCCATGGTGGAGATGGGTGCTATCATTACTGATGACAACAACTTTTAAGATCACCCTTTTCTGATTTCAAGCTTCCTTCTTAACCTGATTATAATTTGGCTTCTAAATCCCTAAATAGATCATCCTGCCAGAAGCAAATAAAAATGCACTGGCTCAGCTGAAACAGCTGTCTAATCTGTGCAGATTTTGCCTCAAACAATGATCAGTAGACATCCTGATTTATTTATCGGTTTTATGAATTTATTTAAATTAAATAAAAGTCTGTTCCAGAGAAATTATTCCATATCTGTGAAACTTTAGAAAAGTAAGTGAAAGGACAGCAGGCTTTAGTCCTTCCACCAGAGAGCATATTGGAGTCCCTGGGTATGTATACTTCAGAAACTGTTAACTGATGATTCTAGTAATGCATACAGTTGCTGATGCTTTGGAATATAACACGTGCCAGTGTGAGCCATGTGAACTGGAAATGGAATGTTGCTGCAGCAAAAACGTGTATGGCATAGAACGGTCTATGAATAGCTATGACACTGTTATTAGAGTCTGGGAAGGTGAAAAATAATGCTATATAATGGTAGAAAGAAAAAGGAACCAAATCCAGAAACTTGGGAACCTGGAGTGAATGAAGCCTACTTAACTACTGCTTTAAACCCAAACACAATGAAGTAGGCTATATTATTGTTTCCTTCATTCACGGTCTCTCACCTAAGATGCCTCTGGCTCGCTATATGAGGTTTGGCCGTGTGAATTGCTCTGCAAATCATAAGTTAGGGGAAATAATATCTGCTATTTCTGAACCATTGTGTGGATCTCTTATGAGAGTAAAATTAACAGGTAAGGGCTTGTCATTGGGTTTAGAATTGGAGTGAAAAGAACATGGAGCAGTTAACTTACAAATATAATGTGAGTGAAAGTAAGCCTTTATTATTGTAACCCACTAAGATTTGAGGGTGTCTTAGTTTGGGCTCCTGTACCATGATTATTTTTCGGCGTCCAAGATCAAGGCACCAACCAGTTCTGTTCCTGATGAGGACTGTCTTCTGGTTATGTCCTTAACAAGGTGGAGTCACAGGATATGAGTTCTTTTTTGTGTCTTAGGAAGGCATTAATCCAATTGTGTAGGCTCCACCCTCATGACCTAATTACTTCCCAAAGGGTTTTCAAATACTGTCACATTGGGGATCAGGGTTACAACACGGGAATTTTGAGAAGACATAAATATTCAGTCCATAGCAGGAGGTTAGTTGTTGCCATGTTATAATCTAGCAAAAATTAACGACTATACACAGCAAGAGATAGGACTAAAATAAGATCTAAGCTTTAAAGGCCCATCACTTCTCAACTGAGTAGGTGCCTCAAAGCCAAGATCAGAATATGTCATGCCTTCCCAACTATTGCTTCAAGGACTCTAAAGGTAGTCACTCTATCTACCAGGCAGAGTGCAGTAGTTCAAGAAGTAAAGCAGATTTAAAAATTAATTCTAGAGGGAATTTTGACTATGAAGCAAATGTATCAGAAGCCTGTTTAGTTTTAGCAAAATTGGCAAAGGTACCGTGAGCTTTCTATTGTATGGGTGAAGGAGCTTAATCTTCCTTTGTGTTCATTCAGTGTTTGGCAACTTGATCTTCAGTTGCTTTTTATAAAATAAGAATGAGAAGGGTTGTGATTCACTATGATACTCATAAAGCATCTAGCCCAGTCCCTGACGTCAGCCCAACAAATGTTTAGTTTTCCTTCTTAATATATACTTGCGGACCCCTTTTGTAAATATTCTTCCTAATGTTTTCTTAATATGTTAGAGGGTAGGACAGTTGTTTTTTTAAGTCTCATCTAAGTTTATTGCTTAAGGGAATTGTGTCAGAACAAAGAATATTGCTTTATGGCTTGTTCATAATTTTTGTTCATAAAAGCCTATATTTGTATATATATGTCTCAAGGATACTTGAGTAATAAACTTTACAACCTGAAAATTTTTCTTTTTTAAAAAGAAATCAAGTCAAATAAGGGGTTTTCAATTAGAGATGAAGGAGATAATGTTTAAAGGAATAAAGAAAAGGATTTTAAGAAATAATGGATACAGGTTTGTGAACTTCTTGATTAAAACCCTGAAGAAAATGATGATTCTATAATTTTGAGATAAATAATATAGTCTTCAAGTAATTATAACACAACTTTTCAGTATTCTTTGGCACAAGAATGAGTAGTAAACCTAAGATAAATGCTTTATTTGGGCTTTTATATAGTTCTTAATGTTTACTCAGTAGAAACTGAATCAGTTTCAAGGATGAATCTTTTTTTTTAAGTTATTGGGAATAATAGGCAGGTTTTTTTGTTTTTAATAATAGCAGTTATAGGAAGTCTTCTAAAATTAATTTTAATTGACTATAAGATATTTTTGGAAATTTTTGACATGCAAAAATTGCAGTATTAGGATGGCGCCTGTGGCTCAGTGAGTAGGTTCCCGAGCCCTTATACCAAGGGTGGCAGGTTCAAACCTGGCCCAGGCCAAACTGCAACAAAAAAAATAGCTGGGCGTTGTGATGGGCACCTGTAGTCCCAGCTACTTGGGAGGCTGAGGCAAGCGAATCGCCTAAGCCCAAGAGCTGGAGGTTGCTGTGAGCTCTGACACCATGGCACTCTACTGAGGGCGACAAAATGAGACTCTGTCTCTATAAAAAAAAAAAAAAATTGCAGTATTATTTAAAAGCTATTATCACAGGTGGTAAAGTATCAGTTTGATATTGGTACAGTCTGACTTAGGAAATTAAGGAAATATCTAAGTGACAAAGATTGAACAAATAGAAAAACCATTGAGGCAAGCCAGTTTGTTTCTAAAAAGTTGTGTAAACCAATAAAGATAAAGCATTATTTTATATTACTAGCTGCTGTTTCAGGATCTCTTCATCTGCACTCTATTAACCAAGTAGGGATGATAATTCTTGGTATTCCTTTAATTGTTCTTTTGGAGATTCCTCCATGTACTTACTTAATGGTGGTGAAATAAAAACTTACAGATTGGAAATGTAGAAGGAGTTCTTAATTATTTACTTTGGAGTAAAATAAAATTTTTATAGGTTCTTACTAATAGACTGTTCTTTAACTGCTCTTCTCAGGTGGATTGAATGTTTTTACTTTATTAGAACTGGAATTTTGGTTATATTTTTCTCTGAATGTCTTTTACATTGTTAAACATGCTTTAAAAATTTGTATCTGTGTAACTGTTACTATAGGCAAACTGAATAAAACTTTTGTGCCATTTCTGTGTATTTGATAGATTATCTAAAATATCTTTTTTTCTTTTTCAAGTTCTACTCAGTGAATGTGGATTACAGCAAACTGAAGAAAGAAGGTCCAGACTTCTAAACCAAATGTTTCACAGTAAAGCTGCTTAGAATGAAGGTCTTCCAGAAGCCATCCGCACAATTTTCCACTTAACCAGGAAATATTTTTCCTCTAAATGCATGAAATCATGTTGATGTATTGTGTTGAGGATTACACTGATTAATAAATATCCGAAACTTGGTATGTGTCACTCTTTAATGCTGAAAATATGCTCTGAACTTTGTAACTAGGATATAGGAGATAAACTGGAAAGAATTTCTTTCTTTCTTTCTTCTTTTTTTTTTTTAGACAGAGTCTTCCCTGTTGCCCTCAGTAGAGTGCTGTAGCATCACAGTTCATAGCAACCTCAAACTCTTGGGCTTATGTGATATTCTTGCCTAAGTGTCCCAAGTAGCTGAGACTATAGGCACCTGCCACAACGCCTGGCTATTTTGAGAGACGAGGTCTTGTTCTGGCTCAGGCTGGTCTTGAACTTGTGAGCTCAGGCAATCCACCTGTCTCACCTTCCAGAGTGCTAGGATTACAGGTGTGAGTCACCGTTCCTGGCCTAAAGAATTTCTTAAATTTCTTTGTATTTATATAATAAAACACTTGACATTTTGTGTATAGGCCATTGGTAACTTCACTAGTGTGTATTAAGCAACTGGAACTGTAAATTGTAGAAGTGTACGTTGGGCTCGGCGCCTGTGGCTCAAGTGGCAAAGGCGCAAGCCGCGTACACCTAAGGTGGCGGGTTCGAATCCCCAGCCCGGGCCCACCAAACAACAATGATGGCTGCAACCAAAAAATGGCCAGGCGTTGTGGTGGGTGCCTGTAGTCCCAGCTACTTGGGAGGCTGAGGCAGGAGACTTGCTGGAGCCCAGGAGTTGGAGGTTGCTGTGAGCTGTGATGCCATGGCACTCTACCCAGGGGGATAGCTTGAGGCTCCGTCTAAAAAAAAAAAAAAAGAAGTGTACATCGGAGAGAATATGGAAGCATCTGTGACACTGGCAAAATGAAAACCTGGATTTCTGTTACTGGTTCCCTTCATTCATGGTTTTCAAGGATTTCAGTTCTGGTGCTAGGATTGAAGTTGAAACCTGAGTTTGCCAATGCTAAGTATGGAGCCTAGAAGTGAAGAGATTTTGAGACTTTCTGCTGCTGAGTCTGGGCAGGTTGTCAAAGCCCAGAACATATGTTAATAGCAGTTTTAAGGTGGGGAAAATCTAAGAGTTTATCTTTTAAAAAATGGGTTATGGAACTGGAATTAAGCTGGAGAAATATTGAATGTGTATGTTGGTTGATGTTTACCTGTTCAGGCTTTGTCCGTTTAGCTGAGTCCAGTGATCCAATGAGCAGAACTTTAAGGGTGGCCAAAAATTAATTATCATGTATATCGAATTTTCACATAGGTGTAAGTCATCATGTCATTAAAAACTTAAGGAATTTAGACGATTTTGGATTTTAATATATAAACAAAAGATTAAATTTTGTTTACTAGATAGAACATGTTTTATTTATTGAACTGAACTAAGCAGTTGGAACGCATAGATTGTCTCATGGTTTTTTTATTTTTCAACAGTTGAGGAAATTAAAACTTGGATTAAATTGCTTGAATTTATTCTTTCAGCCAAATGGTCACTATTGAACCCACGTAGTTTTGAATTTAGAGTATGTAGAGTGCTTTTCAATTGTGTCTTGTATAATTTCAGAGTAAGATTTCTCAGACTTGCTATCAAGTATTTCTGTTAGACAATTCTTTCCTACTGTGAACTGTGCTGTGCATTTCAGCATGGTTAATGGCTAATTTGGCCCCTGTCACTGCAGGCCAGAAGCATTCCTTCGGGGCCTCTAGGTTGTAGAAAAAATGTCTCCAGACATTACCAAATGTCTGGTGAGCAAAATTGCCCCGCTCCCACTTTTGTTGAGAACTACCCTAGACACTTTGGCACAAACCACTGACCTCAGAGTTTAAAATTATGTAAAGAAAAGAGTGTGTCAAGTAATTAAAAAGCAATTTCAAATGAATGCTACATTACGAAATAAGTAATAGCATTTTCCTAGTAGTGATAGTTTTATAGATCTTTAAAGATACTTAGAATAACATCTTTGTATTCAGTGTTCTTGGACTTTGCAATGTAAGAATAAATGTTAAATGAAATACGGTATGTCTTAAAGACAAAACTTTCTATTACAGCTATTTAGGAAATTACAGTGGCAATAGAAGTAAATTGTCATTTTTAGAAATGTATCAGATATCAATGCTGCCAAGAAAGATAACATACTTTTTTCCCCCCTTGAATGAATGTATTTAAAATTATGCTTTTACTATGCTTCAAAACAGTCTCCTTTGTTAATTTTTCATGTTCATGAGGTCACATGGCAAAGGTACATTTGAATTAGCATTTATGTGAACTTGAAAAGCTGCAGTTTTCAGGGTTTGCAAATGCTTCCCAGAAGGTACTTGCTTTAGTTCATTTGTGTTGTTACGAATGAATGCCCAAAGACAAGGCAATTTATAAAGGTTTATTTGCCTCTTGATTCTACTGGCTAGAAGATTGGGCTTCTGGTGAAAGCCTCAGGCTGAAGGCAAAGGGCAGCTGGCACATGGAGAAATCACCTGGTTGAGAGAAACACGAGAGTGAATTTTCAGCAACCAGCTCTTGAGGGCAGTGAGTGAGAATTCACTCCTGAAAACTACATCAACTCATTTATAAGGGATCTGCCTCCATGACCCAAATGACTATTAGGCCCCACCTCCAACACCTGGGATCCCTGCAAGGATTCAGACTAAAAGCCTTAGAGTCTTCATTAACTCTTTCACACCCCATTATCTAATATATTAATAAATCATGTTTACTTTCAAAGTGGAAGTCAGGCAAGTTCATGAACCCCTCCTGCAAAAACTGCTACATACCTCATTGGTGAATATCACTGTGGTTACCTTGGAAGTGCTCCTCTTGGCCTTCTGGTGACTAGTGATACTGAGCAATGAGATATAACACTTTTTGCAGGACGAGTTCTTGAACTTAATTGTCTGACTTTGTAAATCTAGAATACATATTTTGCATCTAATTCTTTCACTATCCTCTTGATCATGAACCATCATCTAACCTGGATTATTAAAAATCACCTCTCAGCTGATCTGTATACAATATATTCTCAACACAGCAGCCAGAGTAATCTTTCACACTAACTCAGAATGTGACAATTCTCAGCTCAACACTCACCAGCATTTCCCCATTTTACTCAGTAAAAGCCAGATACTTAATTCAACAAAGCCCTACAAAACCTGCCACCTCTCCTATTACTAATTAACTTCCTGCCTTGCTCTTCTACTTTTCTTCAGGTTGCTGGCACTTTTTCGCTAAATGAACTGCTTTGATCTGCTAGCAGGAGCGTGTTCCTGCAGCAGGGCTCTGCATTTGCCCTTCTGCTTGGAGTGCATGGCTCACTTTCTGGTCTGTGCTCCACTATTACCTCTTCAGTGAGGCTTTCCTGCCCCAAATTTTACACTCTATCTCACTCTTCCCACTTTTTGTCTCTTTTTTTATTTTCACTCAGTACTTACTACCTTTTAATATTATAATTAGCTTGCTTATTTTGTTAGAAATGTCTTTCTACCACTAACATGTAACCACCGTGAGGACAGATATTTTTGCCTTTTGTCACTTATATTCTGGACATCTAAGATCAGGGGTCCTCAAACTTTTTAAACAAGGGGCCAGTTCACTGTCCCTCAGGGCGGACTGCAGGCCTCGGGACGAGTCAGCTGCTAAGCAGGACTGGCAGCAGTGGCAAAAACACCAGATAAATGTCCTAGGCAGGCTGCTGGAGGCCCATGGGCCGTAGTTTGAAGACACCTGTCTAAGTTGGTACCTAGCGCATAAATATTTGTTGACTAAAGGGCCAGTTCATCAAATGTTAGTCTGAAATATCTAGTCTCAAGTGGCTGCAAGTGATTCTTGACCAGTGACAGAGAGTCACAATTAGAGATGGTAGAAGGCCCTATGCAAAAGGATTGTGAGTATCATCAACCCCAGTTTATAATTTTTAAATGGATTTTTAAAATTTTCCAAAGAGAACATTACATTTATTCTAAATCAATCTCTCCTATCCTGGGTTTTAAAGATTGTTTATTTTATTTCATAATATTTCAATTAAGATGAATATAAGTTTTAAAAAGAAATATATAAGCAAATACAAGCACAAATAAAAAGAGGTCTTTTCTTTTACTTAAAAAAAATAAAACAACTAGAATCTAATACTATAGTCATAATTGCTGAAAACTATCCATTTTCTTTTATTTTCATTTTTTCTTTTCTTTTCAATTATAGAAGCAATCTATACTCAGAAAGTAATTGACAAAAAACATTTTTATGTATACCAGTCTTTCTTTCAGGGGTCTGGTAAGTATGTCAGACTGCTTGAGCTCTCAAAAACGCTCAAGTATGCTTCTTAGTAAAGCATCATAAGGATGGAGAAGCAAGAATCCAATGTGCTCAATTCTCATAAAGGCAGTTGATGATCTAATACAAAGTGGGGGGTAGGGGAAGGAGGGAGTAGGTAGAGGGGAGGTGAGAGGGGCATGGGGGATCACGGTGTATGGCACACCTCTTGGCAGCGGGACACAATTATAAAAGGGACTTTACCTAACAAATGCAATCAGTGTGACCTAATTTTTCGTACCCCTGATGAATCCCAAACAATAAAAAAGAAAAAAATGCTCAAGTATGGCATTCAGGAACTTAATTATTTTAACAAATAGCAGTAGCTGTTGAGCAATACAGATCCTATATGTTAATTTGAAATTTAAAATTAAAATCAGTTAATTATATATACATTTATAAAATGTATCTTAATATACATTTTCATATTTCTCATTGTAGCAGTTGGTAGAATTCATCTTGAGAGGAAATCTCTTTTCTTGGTTATGTAGAATGCAGAGACAAAAGACAAAAGAAAGTGTCATAAGAGGGCATCTCTTATGTAGGTCACTACAAAAATTTTGAGACAGGCCATGTAGTGTTATGGTCCATTATGTCATTTCCAAAAAACAGTGGACAGTGTCCTTTCTGAGTTACGTGTGCAAATTTCATCGTGCTTGGCTTATTGGTGTTGCTGGGAGGTGTTTGTTTCCGTCCTCGTGGATTTTATGTTTCTCAATTTTTGTGATCTCAAAAATGTTGTAATGACCATGT